TATGTCCATAGCAATTAGTTAAGAGCTTGAAATTTTTTTCAGACTATTCATAACTCATTAGAATCTGTATTACGCATATACTTTCAATTCAAAAGCAGTTAATCACTTCGAAAAGATCTTAAGTCATTTACGAAATACTTCTCCTCATTACTTTAGGTAGCAACAACGGAAGTTTTTACTCATCTTCTTGAATCTCTTATCTATAATAATTTGGAAACAAAAATAAAACCTATGAAAGTATCAGCTGCTGCTATTAGTGCTTGTCTAGAAAAGTTCAGGTAAAAACAAAAACAAAAACTCTCTTTTCTATTGTTTTCATAGATTTTTATTCTAGACATTCACCAAAAGTTATGTGTAAAAATTATGAACTTCTAGTCTTATCTTGTTGTTTAATGCAACTTATGGATTCTATTAGTCAAAATCAGAAAATGGAACGATTAATTGGTCTTGAAAAAGTAAAAAATAATTAAATAGAAAAAACTTATTTTTTTAAATATAAATTGAATATTATTTCTAGATTCTTGTACAAGCATTAACAACAAATGCTGGTCCTAGTCCATTTTCAATTGTATTACAAACATTAAAAGAAGATTTAATGAAAACTGAAGAACAACGGTTCGTAGATTTTCTTAGATATTTATATCTATTGTTTTAGGTTAATTTTTAGTCAATTGAAATTAATTGATTATGTTATTCTTCTTGTTCATATTTATTCGCTTGCTGGTAATGATGTTTTTTATGGTAAAGAAGAAAAAGATCGTACACATGTAAATAATCAAAGTCTTTTAATTTATAATAAAAATGAATTTCTATTTTGAAGAAATTGATTGGAAAAGAAATTCTTCATGATTCATCATTTACAAATTCTCTTCGTGAAGAAATGAAAAGTAACACAAGAATTAATGATTTTAAAAAATATTGAAAACTTTCTTTTTATATAGTTCTTGGATATTCATTAGAAATTGAACATATTCTTGATATAATTTATCAAAAACTTGATTTATTACTATCTTATAAACGACGTTATAAATATCTAAAGTTCGTTTTCTGCTTTTATTTTTTCAATGATTATTCAAATGATATTTTTGTTTTATAGTTCTCTTATTGTTCATGGTTATGATGAACAACCAAATTATCGTCAATCATTACTTAAACAAGTGTTTGATCTCTTTAAACGACATGGAACTTCAGGATCATCATCACCATCACTTTCATCTCGTTTAACTGGTGCTACAAATGTTCCTATAACACAACACGAACAATTAATGCATGATATTGAACATGTACCTTTTGATGGTCTTACAGATTTTTTTAAAAGTGCTGCAAGAGGGTAAGAATCATATTGAATAATAATAATAGCTATAATATTCTTTTTTCATGAATAGATTCTTTGGTGATACAAAACCAAATATAACTAGTAATGATTATTCCACACTTGTTATCTTTATTGTTGGTGGTGTAACACCTCATGAAGTTCAACTTGTCCATGAATATAGTCAGCAAATAAAAAAACAAGTAAGAGCAAAAAAAAATGAAGAGTGACTGAATTCAAATTGCTATTTTTTAGATTATTATTGGTTCATCGGGTATTATGAAATCTGAAGACGTTTTATCAATATTATTGAAATGAAAGTGTTTTTTTTTAATTTCTGCAATAAACTAAAAAAAAAAGGAAGAAAATATTTATTGGCATATTGTTTAACCTTTCCCATGAGAATAAATGATATGTTTATTTTTGGCTAAGATAATGTTCGTGACTAAAACAGCCTTGTATATTTCTTTGATCAGCAAAAATGCGCGCACAAATGTGAGTCACTGGCTATAATGAGCTCTTTTCTGACGTGTGTATGTTTGTCATACCTTTATTTCACTCTCTATAGAAAGAGAGAGAAATATGTACGATGTATATTGCATACAAACATCGCCCTCACATTTACCTTTATCTAGATAGACGAATACGTATGCATACGTGTGAATGACGTTCTATCGATTGTCTCTTTTGCTTGAATTCATCGATATATGCACATGCACATCACACAATTAATTGTTTAGATTACTTTTATCATAGACATGTCTGGCGTAGCTAAAGTTCCTCATTCAAATAAATTTATGTTATCTCAACCAATAACTGCAATAAAAATGAAAAATTCAAATAAACAAACGAATAAAACTTCGACTAGTTTACCAATACGTATAAGTAGTTCTAAATATGTTGCTGCACAACGTACTAAAGCTCGTGATATTGTATTATGTTTACAACGTAAAAATATAAAACTTATTGCTATTGATTTTGATAATACATTATTATCAATACATACAAATGGTTATTATCAAGGAACAGTTGATAATTTATTAGAACATCTTCGATCAACATTTCTTTATTTTATTCAAGCAATTCTTGATTCACCATCATTTTGTCAAACACTTCATGTATGTATTGTATCTTTTTCATCACAAGAACAACTCATACGAAAATTACTTGAATTAGCATTTAAAACTGCGTAAGTTGTTTTTCTTCATTTTCTGTATTTGAAAATTAATCTTCTTTGTTGATTTCTTTTTTTAGTAAAACAGATCGAATTATAATACGATGTAATACTCCGGAATTTATATCACATATAAATGAACAAGCGTTTCTTGGAAAAGAATATCATTTATCATCTGTTGTTACTGAAATAGCAACAAAACGTAATAAAACAATAAAACCACATGAAATTCTATTATTAGATGATGATGTGAGAAATATTTTAATAGCAGAAAAATTTGGTCATAAAGTACTTGAAATTCGAGATCAAATTAATTTAGATATTTTCAAAGACTTTGCTAACCATGTTTTATCTGAAAGTTAATTTTATATGTTTGTCGTGTTTTTTTTTCTTTAATATTTATTTCATATTGAATAGCCAATCATTCAATGATTGAAATGGAAATTTTCATCGAGTCAAGAAAACATTTATATATTTGATTTATTTTTTTTTTTATTTAAGAAATGTTAACTTTTTATTTACCAAATAATACTTCGTGATAAAATAGGATTCAAAAAAGGATGCATTGATCAAGCTAAGTTAAAAAGAATCATTGATAATACATATGTTGAATAGAATTATCATATTAATTAGAAAAACATATTTAAATCAAAAATATTATAGAGAAATTTACAATAATATTCCTAGGAGACTGGAAACAATTATGAATGACGTATAATATGCCGAAGGCGAATTAGGACAGCAGTTGATATAGTTATGATTATATATTATTAGTAAAAAACATTTGCGCTACGTTCGAAAATTAGACTGGCTTTCTTGATATTTAGAGTTTCATTGAAAATTCACAGCTGTGTTAGAGAAAAAACAAATAAGAATCGTTCTTTCTTCTTGTTTTTCTATATTTTCACACAGACTTGAAAATAACAACATTTGTTATACCCTTTCTTAATATAAAACTTCGAAAGGTCAAATTCAATCTGAAGATCTGACAATTATAAATTTAAGATTGATGAATCTTTACTTAGATTTAGATATCAAAAGCTATAAAGCAAAAGAAAAATAACAGACGTTTTTATTTTTATTCTAATCATCATTTAATCCTTATGAATACTGTATAGCAAATATCGACCCAAAACACATGATTATTCATTTTGCAACATATGATAGCATATTGGTGCAAATGTTTCAAAGAACGGCATCAATATTATATTTGAAAAGAGAAGAAAAAAGAAGGATAGAAGAAAACATTTTCATCATGATAATGAATATATATTTTGTAATAGAAAAATATCAACTAATCAGCATGTCTCAGGATATGCTAGATCTTTCACTCGAAAATCTTTTTATTTCTATCATTAATCAATGTAAAATTATCATACAGACGAACTAAAGTAAATTCTAAATACCTGTAGTCTTACATTCTATCTTTAATATTATATTTATTCTGGTTGATTGCATCAATACAGCCTAGTATTGACATGCATTAAAAGAAAGAAAACTGCTGAAGGAATGCATCAATACTGTGCTTGGTAACACATTAATAATATTGATAAAACAATACCCTCACTAATTGAATGGACAACAAAAAAATTCATTTCTTTTAGATTTTATTAATGAATTCATATTGTTACAAAATTTTAAAATAATGCTAATGATATTGTGATAATAGGAGATATGAAAAAAATTTCACATGTCTCTTGTTCGATTACGAAATACTAATTTATAAGTTTCAAGAATTAGTTTCGGTATCCTGACATAGAATTAATCAAAAAGACTTCATTAAATTTTCGAAGAAGACAAAGCATGTCCATTTATTAAACAACTTTTAGAATGTGTAATGAATTTGTTCGAAAGTACTGATGTGAGAGGAAATTAATTATTAATATATTCATTTGATGTCAATGAAGAAATTGTTATACTTATAAAAGTTTATAGTCAAATTACGAAAAATCTACAACATAGAGTTTCGTAGTCACTAAATAATCCTGAAAGTTTCAAATGTAAATGAAAATATTTTTTCGATTTATTGAATATCCAAGCACATTGAGAGATTGGTCACATGTATCCTAAGCGGCTGTTGAATGTTCCCATAACGGCTTTCATTTTCAGGAGTTTCTATTGCCTATCAAGTCTATTTATACAGGGTGTCCCAAAAAAATGTATACACTTTGAGCAATTAGAAATTGCCTATTCAGGCACCGAGCTTCGCTTATGTAATTTGATTCAAACTACTTAATACGTGACGTGATAGAGCGAAGAAAGGTCTATCATACTACATAGTCAGAAGCTCGACGAAGATTGTATTGGGCGTATTTCAATGTTCGAATGGTCAACTTTTGGTTTTCCAAACTGTATACATTTTTTTTGGGACACCCTGTAGGTACAGCATCATGTCAAAACTCTGTATTTTAAATTGTTCGAAAATGTCTTACTATCAGTAAAACAGCCATAATCTTTCATAAGTAGGTTATGGACACGAATACTTTTAAACTGTCATTAGTTTCATAGACTGCTACTCATAGCCTTCATATAAAGTAAAACGACAACATTTGTCTATTGAATATGTTTTCTCCATAGTCATCAACATATTTTTTATTCCGGTCTATAAGGAAAAATAATTTTTATATTTTCAATTACTTCGATTTATTTGTTGCATAAGAAAAAATAAAAATAATGAATGATCTCGTTAGACCCAGCAGCATATTTTTCAGTTAGGACTCTTTTTTAAGATTAAGCTCATTATATGAGTGCATCTCATACACATCCATGGGCAAAAATGCCTTCCATTTCATTCTTTTCGTATCGAACACCTTTTGTCTCAAGTGAATATTGGTTATAAGAATGACTTTTAGATACTATGTATTAGTATAGTGTGTATTTGATTACGATCTGCTTCAATGAAGAATATACTTCATTCAATACAATCGTCCAGCACTACAAATGACTTGCTTGATAGAATATTTCATGGCTGAATTATTATCTTTTCTTCTTTCTGATATTTTCTGAATGTTTTTACTAGTTTTATTTTATCTGTATTTGAAGAATCGACTTTATCGCATTCTCGAAGAAACTTTGAGCCAGCGACGAATAGAATTGAATGATCCTAACTAGTAAAATAATTAGCAGAGAGAAAAAAAAAGGGAGATAACCCAGTCATGAAACAATCTGTCAACCAATACATTAGTAGTGTTACTCAACTGTATTGAAAGACGTACATTCATCATTCAAGCATGTTGTCATCAATCATACATAACATTACAATAAAGTACTTGAGTCATTCTTATAGCTAACGTATAAATAACATTCACTTGAGACCAATGAAGTTCTATACTAAAAGAATTATAATAAGAGAAGAAAGATTTTTGTCCAGGGATATTTATACATGGCAATTTGCTAAAGTTCAATAGATTGCAGCAAGAAAATTCATTTAATTCATAGATTTAGTTTTTATATTTTGATTAAATTATTTTATTAAGCTTATTTATCATGAAGCAGAACAATATATGAATCTATTATTTTGATCGAGATGTAGGATTTTATATCATGGTCATCAGTAGCTCGTGATTGGTGAATAAGCAATCGTAATAAAGTTGATGTCATCAATAAACTCTAACTATAAAACAAGTACAATCGAATTACGTAGATCATCATTGATTGTTAAAAACAAACAAATTAAATCGTATCAATTTACATTTGTATAGATTTTATCTAAATTTGATATTTGTATTTCAAAAATATATCAACTTAAAGAAGTGATTACAACAACCGTAAAAAGAAACTCATATTATTCAAAATGACAGTGACATTTTGAGTTTTATTTATTTGCTAACGAATAATTGCATGTGAGATGAAAAATAAAATTGCTTTCCTACTGCTTCTTAAATAATCATTCAACATAGCATATCATTTAGAAGTAGTAGTATGCAATCAATTATATGATAATCCTTTATACTAATTCATTTGCTAATATAAAAATTTGCAAGTTTTAATGATAAAACGATATATATATATATAAATTAAATTTCCAGCAAAACTTTATCGGGTTCGTTGAAAAGATAAGGAATCGAATTAGTTACAATATGATACGTGCACACATTTGAAATGTCAATTAACATGTGATAGAAAGTTGAAACTTTTGGAATATTTGAAACAATATTGATTAAAATGTCAAATCGACCAATTTTTTTTTTCTTTTTTTCGAATAAATAAGTACAGAAGTTTTGTAAACAGACTTGCTGACTGTATAGTGCATAAAATCAGTTGAATACACACTCATGTTTTGATTACTCATTGAAAAGGATCACAATTTTTTTTTTTATATGATTTTTTACCTTTAGAAGAAATGCAAACACTGAATTTCTTTCACATTGTACATAAAATGATGACTCAAATTCTTAAAGAAAAAGAAACGATGCATACATTTCAATTTACATATCAGTCAAGTGCTCACATTGTCCTTTTTCATGTAATCTAATAGTACGTACTTATAGATTCATTCGTACTTTGGTTCGTTTTTTTTTTATAGAATATTTATTCATAATTATTATCATTTGTCGATTTATACATATATCAGTATTGACTTTAGTTTTAATTTATTAAATATTTAGTTTTTAAAACTGTTCTTTAGTACTGAAATAAGCGCCATCTAGATTGTTCTCTTGTTCTATTGGAAATCGTATCCGAGAAAACAAATAAACAAACAACTAAATAACAGTTGACTCAATCTTGTATCATCATTCAAATAGCGATCATTCATTCGTTCGTACGTTTGATACGAGGATAAAAAAATGAGTTGACTCATCTAGTAGATACATCATAATATTTTTACGATTCAGTACAAAAATATAAAATAGACAAGCGTCATTTATCATTGATGTATATCGAACTAATATTGTTTCTTTATATTTTTTAGAACTAGCCATGGCAACTCATGGAGGAAATCCGAGTAAATATTTAAAACTATTATTTTAAATAAAAAAAAAACAATTTTATTTCTTAAGATATGGAATTATTAATTCCAATGATCAATCAACTTCAACATATATTTACATCAGTTAATGCAAAATTGACATTAACACTGCCACAAATAGCAGTTGTTGGTGCTCAATCAGCGGGTAAAAGTTCTGTACTTGAAAATATTGTTGGCCGGTATGTAAATTAAATAAATATGTATATTTGTTTTTCGTGAAACATATCATTTTATAGTGATTTTCTTCCTCGTGGTGGAAATATGGTTACAAAACGACCACTTGTACTGCAATTGATAACGTCACAAGGCCAAGGTAATTGGTAAAAATCAAAATCAAAACAATAATATTATTTATTTTAATTAGAATATGCGGTATTTGGACATAAACCACAACAAAGATTTATTAATTATGCTGATGTTCGAGCAGAAATTGAAAATGATACTAAAGCTATTGTACGAGATGATATGGGAGTATCAAATTTACCAATTAATTTAACAATTTTTTCACCACATGGTAATAATCATAAGCATAAAAATTAATGATTGTTCTATTTAAGTTAATATCTATATTCAATTTTGAGTCATTTGTACACGATAAACGTTCGTTGATAAAATTATTTAGATCTATACTCATGGGAAATTCTATCAAATTTATTATATAGAGTTTTTAATATCTGAAATTTGCAAGATAAAGGATTTAAACTAAATATTCTCAATAATTTCTCGAATCTGTAATATTAAATGTATATGTAATACTGCTTTCATATTGATCGATATTTTAAAATGAAGTTAGGTCTTTTGTCTAACTGATTAAAATATGGATGATTGATTGAAGATACGACAATTTAAAAATCAAATATCATATGAAATATTTTTTTCCTATTAAAAATGACAACATAATCAATCTATTCATTAAATTTTGTCTTTTTTTTCGAATCGCTCAAATTAACAACCGTCCTTAGATTGACATAACAATTTTCAAAATCAAAATACTCGATTATTGAAAATTGAACAATTTCTCCATTTGTACTTTCTAGTAAAATGAATTATAATTGTATTCTAAACTTATTCAATTTTGCTCTATTTACTTTTCGTTGGAAATAAATCATGGATTCACATCTGACGCGATACGAATATTAATAAAAAAAAACTACATTATTATTATACTAAGTTTTTCAAAATATACAATATCATCTTAAGTGATTTACATAAATAATCTCTTTTATCGATGAGAGGCAACATTGACAACTTGTAAAGATCTTATTTGTATGAACCTTAACAAACAAGTGCCAACAAAAAAAAAACACTCATCGTTCACTGTCGCATCGTTCCAGTAAAATTGACAATGATAAATGATTAGCTATATTTTGTTCATAGATTTTTCTTTTCTATTTTTATCACGTAGCAAATCAATAGCAGAAGATGATTTCATTGTAAAAACCACGATTAATTTCATTATCGATTAGTTGTATAGTTGTCAATTTGAAAATTAGATAAATGTTAACTTTCATATTATCATTCATTTCCGATCAAACACATATAATTGAAAATTGACATTAATTATTACTTACGAAGAAAAATATATATTTGATTTATTTTTAGTTGTTAATCTTACACTGGTCGATTTACCGGGCATGGTTAAAGTTCCATCTCAAGGACAACCGCCGGATATTGTGAAAAAAATCGATGATATTATTCTCGAATATATAAGCAATGAAAATTGTCTTATTTTAGCTGTTACACCAGCTAATATAGATATTGTTACATCAGATGCTTTAGTTATGGCACGTAGTCGAGATCCAATGGGTAAACGTACAATAGGTGTATTAACCAAACTTGATATGATGGGCAAAGGACATAATGCTCGTGAAGTACTTTTAAATAAAGTTGTTGTTCTTGAACGAGGTAAATCAAAACCAAAAATGAACTAATTAATCATAATATTTTTTCACAATTAATATAGGTTTTATTGGTGTTGTTCTTCGTGGTCAACGTCTTGATGAATATGGACGAGCATCCAAAGAATTAGACATTCCGGCTGCATTAGAAAATGAACGTCAATTTTTTCAAAATGATCCAGCATATCGGTAAATAAATTATTTTACTAAATATGCTTCTTTTTTTTGTTCTAATATCATTATTGTTTTTAGTGATATTGCTGACCGATTAGGTGTACCATATTTACAACGTACACTTAGTGTTCAATTAACTGAACATATCCTTAAATGTTTACCTGATCTACAACGAGAATTACAAGGTCGGCATCGTGATTTAGGAAAAGAAGTTGCTGAATATCGTGCATCAGCTATGTTTGAAAGTTCGTCAAGTTCGGATACAAAAGCGCTTGTCGGGTAATATGATATGTGAAATATAAAATTACACAGAAAATTCATTTTTTTCTGAAACACGATCTAAAAGGAGTGTTGAGGTGTAAGAGTAAAAATTTGGAACCTTCTCAACCTAGGAATCGTAACAAACGATTTAATAACGTCCTCACTATCAATAACATCTCGCTCTAGTATATGAACTGCTTTCTTATTGTATTTTTTTGTGGATTAAGTAAAACGTTAGTAAAGAAATACGTTCCAAGCTAGATAGAAGAAAGCAATTGTCTATGTTTAGCAAGAGCAGCTACATCGTGTTTCACATTTTAATTTCAAACGGATTGTGCTAATATCTTTTTCGTTTGTTGTTTTAGATTAACACATGAATTACATGAAAATTTTGATACAGCATTACAGGGTACACATTTAAAAGAAGCTGATTTAAAAACATTAACAGGTGGTGCACGTATTGCTAACATATTTCGTGAACGTTTTCCATTTGAATTAGTCAAAGTATGCATAAAAAGAAAAAATTTTTCTAGAAAAATCAACATTAACATAATATCATGTTTCTTATAGACTGAATTACAAGATAAAGATATGCGTAATCAAACAATAGTTGCAATTAAAAATATTCGTGGTTTTCGGTATGTAAATATTTTTTTTTTTGTTGTTGTTGTTGTTGTTGTTTTGCAAAAGATTTTATTTTGAATTATTTTTAGATCGGGTCTTTTTACTCCTGACGAAGCATTTGAATATATTGTACAAATGCAAATATCTAAATTTGAAGATCCAGTTATGAAATGTGTTGATATGGTTGTATCAGAATTACTATCTATTATTCATGAAGCAACAAACAAAGTAAAACTTTATTTATTTAAATATTCTTTTTTTTTTATCTTTAAGATTTGTGTCTTGTTTGTTTCTTATTAAAGATGAAACGATATCCATTATTAAGACAAGTTACAGAAGATTTATTAACTCAATATTTACGAGAACGTGAAATTGCAACTAAACAAGCTTGTTCAACTTATATTCAAACTCAATTATCTTATATTAATACGAATAATGAAGATTTTATTGGATTTGCAGGGTAAATGTTTTTTAATTATTTCTTTTTCTTTCATGGCACAAAATAACAAAGAACAGTAGTTTTAATAATACAATTCGAAAAGGATTATCTTGATAGCAGCTTAACATAAGCTTTGGTTGTATTAATTTAATTGTTTTTATAACTATGTTTGTCAGATGTTGTCATTGGACTTTTCTTTTTAATCACTGAACAGTCATTCATTGATTGCAAATAAGATTACTTATACATAAGTGCTTTTTGAGAAATATTGATAATAATATTTGATGTCATTTTAAGCCGTAGACTTGCATTAGTTCTTGTCGAACTTAGATTTAACTAGGAACGATACACAAAATGGAAGGTCTTCACAAGACATAAAATCACTTTTCAGATAGGACTGTCGAATTTTTCCTACAGACTCTAGTTTTGAAACAAAACTAAATCTTTGAGTTTCGACCTGAAACTTTGCTATGATTATTGAAGAAAAACAGAAATTTTAAAAAGATTCGTATCTCGGCGAGACTGTCGAAAAATCTGACTAATTAGAGTAAAGTTTCAAGTTCAAATTAAAAAGTATAATTTACATTTAAAGCTGGAACTTGTAGAGAAAATTTGATATGTCATCAAGAGAGATTCAACAGTTCAAATTACGCTAGGATATTTATTTATTTATCAGACCCTATCGGGTGAATATAATCCTAGCTTAAAATCAATTTATCACTTAGTTACCTTCTTTCATCAATTGGATTTTCCAAATGTTTAATATGCTCTTGTAATCTATTTATGTGATGAAACAGAAAAATTAGTCAAATGATAGCAATGGTTAATGATGCGAATGATATATGAAGTCAAATAACCGTATATTGTCAGCATCAAATATTTAGTAGAAAACTTGTAGTATTATTATTTCTGATTACGGTAGAGGTTGATGTGAGATATGATATTTTTCTTCTGAGTGCTTCCTTATTGAACAAATTCATTAAGCTAAAAATTGTTTTCAAATTAATCTTTTATAAAACAAGATCTATGATTTTGCTAATGAGCTTTGATAATTAGGAAAAAGCATTTCTTGTATCTAATATTCAACGAATAAAATTTTCATAGTGAAATGTTCTTATTTTTTTCAAACATTAACCAGATTAAATCTCGTCTCTAAAAGAGACATGGTTATACATATATAAGCCATAATAACAAAAGAAAAAGAATACATTTAGATTAATCGAAATTATATGAACGATAAGACATATTTATTCAACCTGTCATTATTCAAAGTGTAGCTTTCAACTAATCTCAGATTGATTTAATCGAATGTCAAATTTAGGATTACCTATGATTGAAGAGAAATGAGATTACTCATAGAAAACTTACATTTAGGGGAAATTGAAACTCATTAAATGATCAGATAGACATAAAAAAAGCTTAAATCTATGTCGGGAAATCGTTATTTTTTCATTCTTGAGATTATATATATTTGTATAATATTGTTTTATTTAAGTATCGAAATATGTGGCGTTTTTATCTAAAAAATTCAATGATGAAAATTTTTCAAAATATATATATCTAGTGTTTGAACAGTCCCAGGTACTTTTTATAACTGCAGAATTCTACTCACAATAGAGCCCGACGAAGCAAATTTTCGGAACCCGATTGAACTGTGCTTTGATAGTCTCAATGAAATTTTTTAATCGGAGTTGAGTAATTGTCCTGAAGATATGAAATACTTTGTTGTGAGTGTTTTTATTCGATGACTAGCGAGTCCTACACATATTTCAGATTATCAAAGCCTACCTGTCCAAAGTTTCTAGACCCGAATCAGAGACTGACTCGATCGGTGCTACCACCAATATCTCGACAAATCTAAACCACTACGTGTGTTTTTATTATTATTATTAATTTTGAATTTTTTTCTTGTTTTTTTCTTTTTAGTGCAGAAAAATCAGTTACTGCCGGTGAAGCCAAACGAACTGTTACTAATCAGGTAAAATACTTTTTCTCGCATTGACTAATTCACCTGCTCTATTGACCTGTTGATTGATATGCTCTTCTAACACAAATTTATTCTTATAGGGTCAAGTACGTTATTCATCTGGATAATTCTTTTTAGTAGAGAATCTCTTGTAAAATTGTTGTCTTGTTTTTTTTTTATTTTATTTTTTTTAACCATGGCTATTGTTGTAAATACTTATTTTTTTGATAAAACATTTTTATGTATATGAATTCTTTAATTTTAGGTTATTCGTAGAGGATTTCTTCGTGTTCATACTGGT